ATGAATGAAAAACAAGCCAAGTTTTGAGTCCAATAACTTGAGAAAAGTTAAAGCCAACAGATGAGAAGTTAGTCACGAGTCACATAAAATATTTTATTACATAAACATTCACATTCTAGTAATACCAAGTTTTAATACAAGAAATATATTAACTCTCAGAACCTGTATACTCTCAGGAAATAATTTCTTCGAGAGATCTCTGGTATCGATATAATGATGTATTAGATAAGTAGTAATATAATTTATAGGATGAAATTATTCGTTCGAGTAAATTCTATATGTCCTTTATCCACTTTTCTGTTGATGTAAGGACACCACATGATTTTTTAAAATTTCTCCTACTGTTCATATCAAACGTTTCTCTAAAAAAATCAAAATGTGTCCATAATATACAACAATTTGCTATCTATTACTTCAGCAACACGCGAATTGAAAACTTATTTTATTTTACGGATGCAGTTTGGAATTTTTTTTATTAGTAGGAAATGTTTAGTTAGTTTAAAATGAATAAGTTCTGAAGTATCATTTTTTAGAATTCTATACACAATGAATTTTTGGAGCAAAATACATGCACATTTACAGGGAATTACATATATGTTGTAACATCCGTAAGGTGGAACATCTAACCTTAGAAATACTGTATTTTCTGTTTTTGTATTTCATCATATAACAATTTTTTTAAATATTGAAGACTGCATAGTGGTGCATGTCTGCATAGTATTCAGATGTGTGAGCGTACCACCAAAAATATTAATTGTAGCTACTTCTTACTAAGACATATACACCTTTACTTGGTCAAACCACGAAAGGTGCTAATCGAATTTTTCTCATCTGAGAAGAAGATATTCACCCCGGACATAAATACGTAGATCTTATGTCGACCAAGACCAGAGAAGCCAAACGGTCTCAAACCAATTATGTGATCACAAGGGTGGCGAAAAAAAACAACTTGCAATAAGGATACGAATACAAGTTCATTGACCTATTACAGATTTTCGAGGTTGGCGTTAGTTTTCGTTCATTTAAATGAACAATAGCTCCGCAATCGGTGTTATGTGACAAACTATATAACGTGATACGAACCGATAGGATGCAGTGTGTCCCTAGGAAAAGGTTATTGCCTACTAATCTCGTTCGCTCGAATGCCAACAGTAACGAGTTCCGCGAGAGCATGCGCTTGTTTAGACTAGAAGGAGATGTGGGCCAACAGCCTTCGTACAGTCGCATATACAAGGATCAAAATAACTCCAAAGTTCACTTATCCTTCACAAAGAATGCTTGCGTTGTTTATGAATTCCACTCAAACAATTATTATGTCAATATAATAACACAAATGAAGGAATAGGTAAAAATTATCTTCCACGATATAGTAAATACACAATATATTCAAATATTAATAAGAACGTTGCAAGGATGTATTTCCCTATCTTCAATGTTTTTATACAATTGAACAATAAATAATGATCAATTAAAAGTAAAATAATTTACAATTTACAATAGAATGAAATCTTAAAATAGGTATAATACAATGTAATATGTTCTTAATATGAAATTTAAAAAATATCATAAATTAAATAACTTAATAGAAACATGAAATTTATAAATAAATTACTTACCCAAGTAATGTGGAACAAATTGACTAAAACTACTGAAAAGACATATCTAATTAACATCGTGTTTATGAGATGATTTTCTCTAGCTTCAAAAATGAAGGTGTAGGACAGGTTGGAAAAAGACTTGAACTTATGCAATTATCGAAAATTCAGAAGTCAATTAATGAAAATCATACCTAAGTTATAAGCGCAATTTTCTCAATTAGAGCGAAACATTTAAAGAAACAATTGAAGCCGGTTTTTGAAGAAATTTTGAAAATATCTTAAACTTTATGTAAGAATTTCCCTCAAGAATTTAAATATTCGTTTCAAATTTGCACGACCTTGAGTTCGGCCATATCGAGATGGAATTTCCAATTTTGGGAGAAATTCTGGACATGGTTTAGGTTGGTGTTGTTGAAAGACCAGCAGACAGACACAGACACAGATACAGGTGATGATACACAGTACAGGTGAACGGACAAGAGGACAGACAGACGTTTGGAAACTAGTAGTGCTACATCATGGCACATTTTTTCTCCTATTCGTTACGATTTAAATAACTTTTAACATTTTTTTATTTCAGCCATCTCTTGCCAAACACACATCACACTGCTACAATGACAGCATAATATTTCTATTTCCTAACATCTAAGAATCACAGAATAGGGAGTTTTAGCGCTATGGGTAAGGTAGCGACGATATGCACTAACAGTCACGTAGCGGACCTTGGAGTCATAACGTCCTGCCTTCGGCCTAAGACGCGAACGTATACCTTCATAGACGCAAACTTAAACCACATAAGTAGTACACGCCTACAGGAGTCTCTACGGTCATCTTACAAACAGCAAAATGGCCGCCTATAAACAGGAAATGTTGCGTTTTTCCAACTCTGATAAACTGATTCACGTATGTGAGTCATGTACAGTTAAGCTTTACCAATGTCCACAACTCTGGAAAGAATTAACGGAAAATGTTAGGAATGTGAGGGGTCAAAACTCCTGAGAAGGAAGATAAAATATATTCGTGATAAAGCATTTATTACGCTTATAACGAACGCAGTTATTCCCCACATTCAAGGGAGGCCGAGTCAAAATCTCAAACTGCATACTCATCGCGAAGAGCCAGAAAATCTAAAACATCTTGCCTATTGTTTATTTTTAACTCGCATCGTTGTTCAAATTTTTCACAAAGAGTCTATTCTGATATATTTTGCAACTTCTTTGTTTAACGCTTCAAATGCTTCTTTGTTATAATGCATAACGCAAGTACTAAAGCTCATCTGAATGTTTACGACCGCGTACCGTCGTGTTCAATAGAATTTAAGGACGTCTTCTTACGCCTGGCGCTAAAACTCTTCATTAGATCTTACCTTATTGATGAATCTTGAATCATCCGTTTATCAAATGTGCATCAATCAGTGGCGGTTAATAGTACAATTGCGCATATGTGATGGTGATCCATAAAATGCACCGATGATCCATTAAATAGAACCTCAAATCAATATAGATTGAACACCAACTTATTTTGTTTCAAACTATAAAAAAGTTATTTCTTTCTTACATTAAATAAGATCTATATGAAAAGAATTTGAACTGCAAATTGAAGGAATGTATTATCATAAAATTATTTAAAGCAATGTGCACTGTTGTACGATAGGATAAATGAAAAAAAATGGTATAAATTTTGAAAAAATGTTAACGTGTTGACAAATGTTCACAATTTTACACTAAATTACTCGAAAAATGATCTTCTAGGAGCTTCATGTAAAATAGTACATAAAATGAAGAGATAATTTCAAATTTGCAGCGTCGCGAGGTCAGCGAGATCGTTTAGGTACAAGTGTTCTTCACAAAAAGATTGTGGCTTTTTGAAGAAAAGAAAAAAAATTAGGTATCAGACTTCCAAAATGTGTATTCAAAATGAATTTTTACAATATATAACTTCTCCATATTGTGTATATACTACATATATAGTATCACTTGAGAAAACAAAACAGGAGAGAAAGGGGGAAAAGTTTATAAAAAGAGAATATTCCACTCCAACTCACAGAATTGTACTTTGGAGAACGTTGAAGACGAATTTAATGAAAATTCGTTGAAAAAAATGCCTAGAAGATAAAATAGTTTAACAATGAACATAATGGCATTAAAGGCAAACGAATGGAGAAGACAAACTGGAATGAGAGATCGCCTGAACCAGCATTTTAGTCAAAACCTCAAGACCGATTTTTATTACTCAACGTTTCAATATTATGTATGAAATATAAAATTAAAATAGAAAGAAAGTGTGAGGAATACAGTTATATGAGCTTTAGTTACATGTTATTACTTTTATACTTTTGTTTTATTTTATTTTCAGATAAGTGTTATTCCTTTTATGTCAGTACTCGCAGGAGAGTCTGATCCTGCCTTCCTGCAAAGCAAATGTATAATTAATAAAAGCAAGGCAGAAGATATGGAAATAAGAGTAAGACCTGATTAAATAATATAGGAGAGGGTCGAAATCACTTATATTTTTGCAATTTTCGAAATTTCAGAGGTTTTACCGAAAATCGGACCTATATCATATTTATAAGTGCACATTTATTGAAGAAAACATTTCGAAGAAAAAATCTTGAGTCTCTTTGAGAAAATTTCGAAAACGTCCTATGGATTCTAGTAAAATACCAAAAATGAAGAGATCCGTTTCAAATTCACAGTCCCTCGAGTTCGGCCCGATCGATCAAGGAATATCCATTTATGGGAATATCTTGTGTACAGAGTCGTACACGAACGGATACAAAGAACAAGCAGATAGAACAATCAGCTTTTTGAAAAAAGAAAGAAAACACAAACACACGCACACACACTACCATCGACCCCTCAAAACGCGGATTTCCGTGAAAATCTCGTCACAGATTCTTCCCGCGTTACATGCCTTTTTTCGTACTACGTGAACACTACATGAAACACATGAAAGTAATTATGTGAAAGTAAATTTATTAATAACGAATAGTGGGAGTATATTAAGATTAACAGAGAAGTTCTTGTTTGAGATTCCTATTTAAATTACTCAACACGTCAGATTATTTATAATAATAATAATAATAATAATAATAATAATAATAATAATAATTATTATTATTATTATTATTATTATTATTATTATTATTATTACTCAATATCGCGACATTGAACAAAATCTTTTCTACTTAACCGCCTGGACTGTCGTGTTTGAAATAATCAGTAGTTTGAAATTGTCAGGAATTCAGAAAAGAAAATAGTCCCAGTTTTCGCTGTGAACCTCCTCGCCGACAGGGAAGTTAGACGGCCCTGGTCTCGAATAAAGTCTAAGTATTCAAATCCTTGTGGTCGGTTGGCCAGACGGCAATGACTGGGCGGGGGCACGGTCGCGGCGAGGGGGGCACGGCCGCGACGGAGGGAGATAGCGCTCAGCCTTATTTTCACACTGTTCATTTTTTACCGAACGTTCGAGGGCGGTCAAAGGCCACCACAACAACTCGCGAGGAGAGCGTGGATCTTCTGAATGTGCCTTCTGATTGGTCGATCGTCGCCGCCACCCGGGTATACATTAGGGAGATTCTGCACCCACAGCATCAATTTCGCCTCGAGTGCGGAGAAGCTCACAGGAGCAATTGCGTTCGGTCTCGAAGTGATCTCAAGAGATTTACGTCCTACAATGAGCACCATCGTCAACAACATCAACAACTCCATTGAGGAGATGTCGAACTTGTACTTGCGTGAAGAAAGTATCAGTAGAGGTGACTGGCTGTCTCTGGTGCGCCACACTTACATCGATCAAAGAGGAAGACCCAGGTAGGACTTTTCATTTTGATATTTGTATGAAAATCATCTGAAGCAATAGTTTTTCATTGTAGAGATTTCCTGTAGTATTCGTTGTATGCTCAAAACTGCATTCATTCACATAACGATTGAGTGTATTGCGACAGTTTTAAAATGTGTTTTTAATGAGCATGTATATAAGCTCATTCAAATACATGGTGTTTTAGAGTCTGGGAAGGAGCTGCGAGAACTACAAGGAATGAAGACACCAAGATCGATGCTGTCGGTGTTATTGCTTTCTATAGACGCTTGCTTCACTACGACTGCATTATTCTCGTAAAACAGTATCGGCCGGCTCTCAACGCCTATTCTATCGAAATGCCTTCAGGTAAGGGAAACGTTTCTGCTATTTTCACCTCACGTTACAGGAAATATTTGAATAGTTCATTAATTTTACATATTTGTAGAGCTATTTACATTTTTATTTTATCAAATTAGTATGTGATAATACGTGCCTATCATATCACGATTTCAATTGTTATTTACGATATATCAATTATGCTTAAAAAGATGAGTCATTATAAGTCAATTTCATTATTTTCGTAAGATATGATTACGTGAATAGGTAAGGTAATCCACACGAACTAGAGAAAAAGCTCTTCGAAAGTTTGTCTCGTCATACAAAAGTATGAGAGTTGTACTACTTCTACAAAGGATGTAAATAAAACCTTGTATGGTACATCCTAAAACGTTACTTAACCAGGAAAAGATGCTATGTGTCCAATTTTATATTAAATGTAGACAATGAGAAACAACAATTAAAATCTACTTCTTCCAATTATGAATGTGTCGTTGCGTTAGGTGTTTTGTCCAATAAAATAACATTAAATACCAAAAGTGATCAATTGCGTCTGCTCTTCAACAGGACTTGTGGAGGAAAATGAATCACCTGCAGAATCAGCTGTACGAGAGCTTAAAGAAATCACAGGATTCAGCGGTTCCATTAAGAAGATTGGGCCCATTCTTGCTATGGATCCTGGTGCATCAAACTGTGCTATGCGACTTGTCACAATTGAGGTGAGTTTATTTCAATTACTATTGCAATACACACATAATTTAAAAATTCTTTATCACGTAGAAGATATTTGTATTCTAATTTCCCCCTTGACGTTTAGATCAATGGAGATGAACCTGATAATTTGCATCTGAAAGGAAGTGTTGACAGCGATCGCTTTAAAGAAGCTCTGCTTATTCCTGTTTCTGAACTCCTGGAGAAATTAAGTGGTATGTTGACAGTGTTATAT